AAAAAAAACTTTTTAAAATAAAAATAATAAAAGAACAAGACCTGATAAATCACTCCCAAGGTCGTCCCTTGTTCAGCTTTCTAAACCTTGTCCTCATCAGATCCCAAGGGTATCTTCCCGATGGTTCAGGCAACCCACTTTTCATAAACCAGGCTTCCCCTATCTTTCCTGGTGAGATTAAGGAGTCTGCTCATGGTAAAACAGTGATGCAACTCAAATTATTACACAGACACATACCCCCACCTCCACCCACCGCATTCTCCATTGCATGTGTACAATGGTTTCTTTAAATTCCCTGATAGCAAACTTGTCACTAAAACATATTAATTGAAAACAATATAACTCTGGCTTGATGAATCCTCAAAGTGAGCAGGGTTAGAAGAGATCTATTTATCCTACTTATTACCCCTACTGCTATAGATCTTTGAGAGAGAGAGGGAGAGGGGCAGAGGGAGCATGATAATGCTACCTTTGTATTTTAAAGTCACAACTGACCTACACAAACTTAGCCTCCCCACAAACTTAGCCTCCCCGGAGCAAATCCAGAGAGAAAAAGACTGATGTTTTGTATTGATCACAAAGCATTCAACTGAGGCCATAAGGCAAAGATCCTAATTACCAATACAGAAGGATTCTAAACATTTGTGTTAAAATCCTTAAAATGAAGAAGTATCAAAACCTCTTTATACTTGGGGCACCTGAGTGGCTCAGTTGTTAAGCGTCTGCCTTCGGCTCAGGTAATGATCCCAGGGTCCTGGGATTGAGCCCCACATCGGGCTCCCTGCTCCGTGGGAAGCCTGCTTCTCCCTCTCCCACTCCCCCTGCTTGTGTTCCCTCTCTCACTGTGTCTGTCAAATAAATAAATGAAATCTTAAACAAAAAAAAAATCCTCTTTATACATATAAAAAGAAATTAAGGGGTGCCTGGGTGGCTCAGTCAGTTAAGCATCTGCCTTCTGTCCTTGGCTCATGATCTCAGGGTCCTGGGGTTGAGCCCTGCATCAGGCTCCCTGCTCAGTGGGGAGTCTACCTCTCCCTCTGCCTTTCTCCCTCTCCCTCTCTCAAATAAAATCTTAAAAAAAAATTGTCTCTCACCTCAAGAAGACACACTGGTTAGTTACCATACTTATTTTTTACAATGTAAGAATGCTTTTATAGATTTCTCTATTACTTTTATAAATAACATTTTTTGTGAGGAAAAAAACTGAAGATATTTCCACTTTTTTTTAAAAGTACATATAGAGGATCCAATGAAAGTCTCCAAATGAGACCACCAAATTCCTAAATCTGTAACTTTCAAAATTTGAGGTCAGCAATTAATACTTGCTTTACACTTTCTATTAAAGTAGGAAAAAAAACCCCACAATTTCTATATGATATCAAGTGTCATAGCAGGGGCGCCTGGGTGACTCAATCGGTTAAGCGTCTGCCTTTAGCTCAGGTCATGATCCCGGGGTCCTGGGATCAAGCCCCGCGTCGGGCTCCCTGCTCGGCGGGAAGCCTGCTTCTCCCTCTCCCACTCCCCCTGCTTCTGTTCCCTCCCTCGCTGTGTCACTCTCTGTCAAATAAATAAATAAAATCTTTAAAAAAAAAAAAAGAGTCATAGCAGTAAATCTGGCTTGATGTGAACATGGCTATTTTCATAACCTTCCTGGAGAGAGCCAAAAATGCTTAAATTAACCCCAAGATGGTAATAAAAGTATAACCTGGGGCTGTCAATTCAATTTGTACTAAATACTGATTACTTGCAACTACGTTTCTTTCCTGCCAGGTCAGAAATAGATCTTTAACAAATTTTTCTTCATTAGCTAGGAAGATCCAACTACCTAAATGAAGAATGCTATTATGCCTTAATCCATTAATAGTCTTGCTATAACCCAAATGTTTGTCTTTTTTCAGGGTACAAAGTTTGATTTTTCTGATGCTACCATCACATTTATGCAACATTGTAAATGGGAGTACACCATGACTTACAATACCGTAGTTAAATCATTAATACTAATGTACCAACTAGAGAAAAGTTAATTTCCCTGCTAGTTAAGAGAAACACTAGGGGTGCCTGGGTGGCTCAGTCGGTTAAGCATCTGCCTTTGGTCATGGTCCCAGGGTCCTGGGATGGACCCCCATGTTAGTCTCCGTGCCCAGCAGGGAGTCTGCTTCTCCCTCTCCACCCAGCTCATGCTCTCTCCCTCACTCACTCTCTGTCGCAAATAAAAATTAAAAAAAAAAAAAAAAAAGGGAAACGCTATGCTAAGCCCACCATGTGAATTTATTTTACTGCTCCTGTGAATACTCTATTGTTTTCTCAGTAGAAGTGGATGACTGGGGCCAATTTTGGAATCAAAACCCCAGTCTCTAAGAAGGGCATTTCATACTCTAAGAGCCAAATTCTCCCTTCTATTAAAATGTGGTTTGCAATCCTATTTATTCCCTTAAAATTCCTCCCCTTCAACAAGCCGACGTGCAATTTACATGTCCCCATAACCTTTTTAAACCACAGCAATTTGTTCGGCACCTCTAAGTTTATAGTGCTTCTACAAAAGTACCTGATTTAATCCTGAAAATTCAGCTCAGTAAGTCCAAAGCTAATGTAAAATACCAGGAAACACACAATATAAACTTGAAACAAAATATCATGTAACATTTAATAATTGTAAATATATTTATTACAATTTACAGATTAGTTAAAGTTATATACACAAATATAATTTTAGCTATAAAATCCCAACAAACTGGTTACATTTAAGTCACTGGATCTGTAGAAGCCAATTTAGTCTTCTAGTCCCCTAAATTCACCTCCCTTAAATTATACAAAAATAAAATCTGATAGTTTTGATTTCAAGTTAAAGATGAAGAGGTGCTGTTACCACACTGCAACACTCAGAAAAGGAAATTTTACCTGTCTGTATGCCTTCACATGCTACATTGATACTTAAAGCACCATTATAAGACTTTAAATGTGTACAATGTTCAATTACAACTTCCAAGTTTAACTTTGTTCTAACAACTAGGATTGGGATGAAATGACAAGAATTTTTTCTCCTTCAGTCCAACTTAAAAACAGCCCCTTCTGTCCTTTTTGTCACTGTCTCGATCACTTCTTTTAAAGGAGGGCAGGAAATGGGAGAATTCTTCACCAAGCTTTTACCGTACTCATTTGGTAGTGAGGTTGGAATCCCAAGGGAACAAGTTTCCAAAATCCAATCAATGTCAAGCTATCCCATTATTTTCAACTATGCAGAGGTGCTAGATTTCAGACTAAGCCGTGAAATAAAACAGTATACTTCAGTCTGGTTTTAAAAGAATGCCTATACATTTTCAGAAAGCTTTTTTTCAAGGCAAATGATCCCTTCTTCCCAACTGACACAGCTGGTGCTTGAAACCAGCCTGTTTTCAGTGTTACAGCAGGACTCTGCAAATGCATCCCCTACGATTACCTAAAGTGGAGGTGCACAACACACGCTGAGTAAGGGCTCTGCAAAAATCGGACCAGCTTTCAAGTTGTTGTACTCTTGGCGTGTTTATGTACGAATACATATATCATCACTGGGGGCAGTTCTTAGAGCAAACCAGACAGAAATAAAATAATGACCAGGTAGATTGTAAACTGAGGTAGTAACTCTGCAAGCACTTCTGACAAAAAATTTGTTCCCACACTGAAACAAGTTCAAACTTAAGAGGTCACCTGTTCTACTCATGTTTTCCATTACCTGCAACAAAGAGGCACGTGGGGCAAAAACAGACCAGTAAGAAGCGGATCAACATTACCTCAGCCTAACAGAGGCACACCATGTCGAGCTAAACAAACAAACTAAGGACAACCAGCCACTGCAAAAACTTCAATTCAAAAGTAAACTCTGGGCTAAAATACTAAGACTTTCTATTGTTAAGTCTCTAGTACCATCCTTTCCTGAAAGTTATAGGCCTTGTCATTACCTCTCTCACTAACAGTAGAACACAATAAACTTGGAGATTAAGTCTCTATTTTACATTGCAAACTGGAAAATTCAGAAGTGCCCATTTCCAAGTTTATAGTGTCACCCTGACAGGTTTTAAAAGTGCCAGTGCTGAAGTATGAGATTAATAACACTGGTTTTCTGTTGACAGCATATAAAACAAAAACAAATTGCTCTGAGATGTCTCCTAGTTTCTTCCTAGGAAAATTCTTGGCTTTTCAATTTAAAAAGTAAATGTCTATGATGCAACTATTACTTTCTGGAGTCTTTTACAACAACTTCTACCTGTTGAAACACACAAAGAACCATTTAACTGGAAAGACAATCACACACACAGAACCCTCTCCAAGAAACAGTTTGCACAGAAGTTAAACGTGTGAGATGTTAAAATTTGGCAGAAAGATGCAGCTTTCCCAAAGCAGCAGAGAGTACTGCACATAAAGGTTTTGTGGCAGTCCTTGGAAATATCTCAGGTACAATTTAACCTATAAAAGCCCACCACACATGTCCATCCAAAGTCATTTTTAGAAGGGAAAAAGTTAACACAAGGTAATTTAAGTCGGTAGCATATACAAGATCATTTTCTTAACCTTAAAGCTAGAAGGACCACATCACTGAAATAAAAAATATAGAGAGAAAACATAAAAGCCCATTAACTTTAAAATGTTGGGTGGGGAGAGCCCAAAGTTTTCAGACAGGTACACATAATTTAAATTAGAATGGAAAATGGGCTTTGAACCCTATAAATATTGTTTCCCAAGGAAATCAGTTTTGAAAATGCAAAATTCCACCTTAAAAGGTCCCCTTTACACCTCAGCAAGCACATGACATTCAAAAATACATCCAACTGAATCAAAAAAGGGAGTATTAGAAATCACACCATCTCATCCTTCATTACCAGGGCTTGCCTTCAAACCTGGCCATCTCTGAGTGGGATCAGTTACAAAAAAAATATTAAACTAGGTCACTGGATCCAAGCTGCATATCCTCTTTAAAAAAAAAAAAAAAAAGGGCAGCTGCCAATTTTTGTTTTTAAAAGAAACCTCTCAAGTAAGAGGTAGTGTATGCTCAAGTTAGAGGCCGTCAAATCATCTTAACATTGCTTAAAAGCATTAAGTCCTTTGAAGCCTGTTTCCTGGAATCTATTGAACATTCTTTCTCTGTGCTCAAACGTCAAGCAATATCCAATAGCATCTTCTGTTTCTTGAATTCGTTTCTGGAACCTGCACCCATCCCGTGCAAATTCTTCCCATGGTCCTTTGCGGTCCTCATCACCACTTATATAATACTCAGTAACTTCTTCAAGGAAGGTTACCTATAAAGACAAAGACTAATTTTAATCATGCTCTAGGATCTTAAAATCACCACTGAAGTAATTAACCCTTTATGCTACTAATTCTTTCAGAATATCAAATATCCAAATCTTACAGGAGTATTTGGTTTCAACTGTAACAGAAGAAAAAAGTAAGTTCTGACGGACTAGATGGCATCTCAGTAAAAAGTGAGCAAACTCCATCTTGATTTCCTTCTCACACACACACACACACACACACACACACACACACACACTCTCCTGCCCCCATTTCTCATCCTGTCATCCCGCCTCCCTCCTCTTGGCTTTTGATGTTAATAAAATGAATCCAGATGGGGAACTGAAAATTTCCTGATGTTATCAGTCCTTGTTTTAATCCTTAGGGAAATACAGTTCTGTGACACTCTTCCTCAAAAATGACAAATGTTTCCCAAAAAATTTTCCAGAAATATTTGAAATAGTTATTAGTCAGTATTAGTCAATGCTTTTATTACAGCACAAACGCTTTAACAAGATCTTCACCGATTTCTAGTCTTCCTTTTTTCCTTTTAAATACGATTTCACTTTTCAGTGCTTTCCAATTTTTGCATCATAAACACATAGTGTTACTCTTTTATTACTACTTTTGTAATGAGACTATAGAAAAATTATTTAGTAAACAAAATGCACCCAAATTAATCTTTAAGGTTATGTTACTAGGAACGCCTAGGTGGCTCAGTCGTTAAGGGTCTGCCTTCAGCTCAAGTCATGATCCCAGAGTTCTGGGATCCAGCCCCACATCGGGCTCCCTGCTCTGCAGGGGGTCGGCTTCTCCCTCTCCCACTCGCCCTGCTTGTGTTCGCTCTCTCGCTATGTCTCTCCCCGTCAAATAAATAAAATCTTAAAAAAAATAAAAAATAAATACTATACACATGATTTCATGTAAAGAGTTAAAGTCCCTTCTAATCCCTACTTAATTTCTAACATAGAAGTTTCTTTCAAACACAGCAAACTACGAAAGTAAATACTTGCTTTAAAAATATGTTCAATAGTTACATCAGCTAATCCCATCGTGGCCTACTCCTTTCATTCCCTTTACATCAGGCCACGGAATGCCCTCGAGGACAATTAGCAGGTATGTAACCTCTTACTAGATATTGCATTCTAGAGTTACTCATTGTGTCACTAAAATAAGTAACAGCAGCAGCATTTATATGTGTTCACCACATGCCAGGCTCATTTCAGAGGACTTTATAGTTTTTATCTCATTTAATCCTCAGATCAACCCTAAAGGGTCTGTACTACTGTCACCTCCAACGGATAGATAAGGAAAGCGAGGTTAACGGACTTGTTTCCAATCATACAGCTTCCCTCTGGTGTAGTAATCAGGATTCAAACCTGGAGTAGGGCTTCACAATCTGCACCGTGTTATGTCAATGACACAGGCGTTTTAAGGCTCATTCTAAGAATCACGCACTACCCGTTATTCCCACATACCTAAAGAATGGCAAGTGGTCAAAGGCTGCCAAAATAATTTTACCATAGTTTAGACATAATCTTTTATAAATGTTCCTTCTTGTTCACAGTCAGTAGTCTCACATCTACTTGACTCATCTCATTTTTGCTCAATGAGCAAGCCAAAATGAGACATGAGACTGGCCTGAGGTCCCTGAACAGTAATAGCTACCAATTAAAGGCAAGGCGATGGATGAGGAGTTTTACACACTCATCTCATTTAAATCATGCAATAATTCACACAGTATTTATAATTATGACTCCCATCAGATAAATGAGTGAACCAAGGCCACGAGAAGTCAAGTTACTTTGCAGGTCTGGCTGTCTTTCCAAATTTCTTGGCCCTAACCACTCAGCAGGAGGGAACACAGGCCTCCAAATACCAAATGCTCATTCTATTGTTCCACTTCCCAATCAGGCCTCGGTTTTTTTAACCTATTCACTAATAGGTTTTAACCTATTCACTAATAACTAAATAGGTCATTTTGTCAGGGTCCCCTTAAGAGTAAACAGAAAAGATCTTTTATGACAGCATTTACGTAAGTGTGAACTAAATTTTTAACATGACCTATTCTACAGGTGAGACGTAAGGTTATCATCATGTAGAGATATTTTCTACCCAGGAAGTATCTCAAAGGAATTAAGCTGGCCATCTGGAGCCAACAGATTATGGCACTGTCTGTCCACCTGAAACTTTCCAATGCGGCAGAATCTGAGGTCAAAAATAACTTATCCTCCTTTGTCTTTCAAATAAGTGTACAGGAAACTAAAGAAACTTTCCCTCTACAATAAAAGATACCCTGTGTGTTTGGGGGAATTCCTCTCCAGTTAATAACTTTCGCTGAATAAATAGTAGAGGGAAAAAATAAAGCAATTCCAAAGGACCTCCCCAAATAAGATTAACCTGACAATGTGTTGAAAGAGTAAAACGTTTTAAGACGAGCTTAGGAACAGGAAGCAGCTACTCAAGATAAACCAAATAGGTAACCATCATTGTTACAAATGATTATTAACCTGTAAGTGGCCACTGATAACTAGTATTACATTCTTCAGAAATGGCAGTACTATTTCCTGTATTGTTTTATTACTGTCAATCAAAATCATGTTCACATCAAAAAGTTTTTACACTGAAATTAGTATCTTCTTTCATGGCAAACTTGCTACTTGGTACTATTATCCCTCTGGGCTCTAATAGGAATGAAGACACTTGTTATCCTGTAAATAAACTATAAGGTGTCCGCAAATGACATACAATTAATACCATTTAAATACTCTATAACGGGACCTGACCAATCTCCAGAAGAACTGTGTACACACAAGGTGTGATTTTTCTGTTCTGTAAAAAAGGAAAGTTGAAGATTATGGAAACAGCCCAGAGGTACAAACCCAAATGAAAAGGACACTTTCCCGCTAACATCTATACGATTTTCGATTTGGATAGGAACAACATTCCACAAGAAGGGAAGAAGGCAGGTGATGGTTATATCGGGGGGGGGGGTCATTTCTTAATCCAAGTACAGAAGCTTAGAGCCCTTCCTCAAAAATATGCTCTACTATGCCTCCAGAAGAGTCATGCTACTGTATTTAACCGTATCAAAACAGTACCAATTATCAGGCACGTTAAAAAAAAAAAACAACAAAAAAAACAAACCTTTTTTCTCTTGATATGTGCATGTCTTTCTCCAGAAAGAACCCCACCGGGTACCAAGTCTGGACCTTCACTTTCACGGCTCCCTAACAGCTGCACCTCACAAGACAGTAAGGTGTGACAATCAGAAATGGCCACAGTGGGTTCAGATGGCCCCTCTGAGTCGCGACCGCCTTTCCAATTTTTCCCTGATGTTTGAAAAGGAGCCTTAAAATTTAAAAGGTTGTAGGGGTCATCGGAATAACAGAAAGAGTTCCACAGTTTGAGACTCTCTGCTTCATCTGCACTAGATTCCCAGTCATCTTCCTCCCCAGAACTATGGTCAGGAGACTCGGGAAGGCTTCCAGTCTGGGGGGAGTTCTCTAGAGCAGACTTGTCAGATGAATCCTTCTCTGAGTCAGAAGGGTCTCCAGGAACAACTCTGGCAGCAGTCTGAATTGTTGCCGTGAAGTTTCGGGGATTATAAGGATCTACACTATAGAAAGAGTTCCAAAGGTGAAGCCCTTCAGGGTCTTGTTCAAGGTCTGATTCGGAGAGAGAGCTATCACTATCAAAACCATCATCCTCAGCTTCCTCATCCCAATCCTCACCTTCGGAATCAGAACTTGTTTCCAGGTCACTGGATGCACCTCCCAAAATGTAATCTATCAGCCTGTTACTACAAGCTGGCCTGGTGGAAATGGGAATGTCATCTTCTAGATCTGAGGAGTCCCCGACACTTATTTGGTCCTCTCCAGGCTCTTTCTCCACAGGTACCTCACCAGACGGACAACCTTCCGAGGGGTCCTGTTTTTCCAAAGCAAGTGGAACCTCTTTCGTCAACGATGCGATCTTTCCCTCGGTGGGTTCCTGGGCGGTTCCGGAAACGGCTCCAACAGGGGGAACACACTGTGTGGGACTATCTCCGTCGGGTTTCAGATCCAACCGGAGCATGCTGTGTTCCTCCTCCAGGCTGTGGTAGCCATTATCTTGGTCTGGGGTGGGTAACGCTTCCCCCTTTCTGGCCTGCTGAAGGAACTCCAGCCGTTTCGTGCGAAGATGGTGGATTTCTGGCAGGCCCTCTCTAGAAAGAGGCGGACATCCCTGCCGCGTGGAGCAACTGATGTCTGCCTTCAGCGGGTGGGGAGGATCAAGGTCTTCAGTCAGACAGGTGCCCTCTGGGCTGAGGGTCTGGAAATCAACAGGCTCGCCACTTCCCACGCTGTTCTGATAGCCGAGCCCCACCCGGGGCTGGCAGTCCCGATAGGTGGGGTTCAACAAATAGGAGACGACGCTGAAACTGCTGAAACTGCTTAAACGCCGAACTTGTAGAGGGCCGGCGGGCGAAGAGCCAAGTTCCCGGTTAGAGCACAGATGGCCCTGAAGGCCACTCGGTAACAGCTCCATTCCCCACAGCTGCTGCTCTAACAGAAAAGCGTGTGCGGCAGGGTCCAGAACTCTAGCCTGGGCTTTGAGTTCCAATTCTAGATCTGAGGACGAGCACTGCCAGTGGATCCCCTCCTCCAGCCAATCGAGGGGACGGGCAGCAGAGTCGTCCGAGGGGTCGAGCCGCAGCGAACTCAAAGATTTCTGCGCTGGGGGGACGGCTGGGTCCTCCCGAGCCTTCAGGGCTCTGAGAGCGCTGTAGCCTCCAGCAAAATCTAGCCACCTGGTCGGAATCATCCCGCCGAAAGGCTGGCTCCAAATCAGCAGCTTCTGAAGCAAGCTGGGGAGCGGCGCGAGGAGCTGGGAAAGCAGCTTCATCCAGGAGCCGGTCTGAGCCTGGGGCTGGGGGGAAGCAGCCAGTCTGGGGTCCCTGGAGTGTTCCGGGGCAGGAGGTGTGGGCAACTTGGAAGTGCCGGGTTGCGGGCGCCGGGAAAAGGGCAGCCAGAACCGGGAGCCCGGCCGTGGCCGCGATCCGTCTGCTGCCGGCTCCATGTCCTTGTTCTAGGCAGTCTCTCGGGGCTGCAGGTCGGGCGGGATTCGGAGAGGCCTAAGCAGTCTTGGCCTTGCTGCGCGGCGGAGTCGGGGCCCCAGGCCGATCGCCGGGCCAGGAGAAGAGCCACAGGGGGAAGCGGCTTCGGCCGCGAGCGGCAGACCACACTCCGGAACGGCAGGCGCAGGACGCAGCGGCCAAGACGACATTCATCCTGGCGGAAAGGAGATGTCCTAGTCCGCTCGAGGCCTCTCCACCATAGACAGAGCCCTCCCACGGCGACTGCGACGACTTCCCAGAAAGACGGGCCGTTAAAGAAGCCCCTCGGCAGCGCGACCCCGGAAGGGCTGGGCAGGCGGGCGCGGGTGGAAGCGAATCCCAAAATGGCCGCCGGGCCAGCGCGGAGCAGGACACCCACAGGCAAGAGGACGAGACGAAGGACGGCGGCTAGCTACGCCACCAGCCCCGCGTCGCCCAACGTCACTCGCAGAGCCCCGGCGGGCGGGCCCTTCCGGACTCCTCCGAGCGGCCGCTCATTGGTCTCGCGCGGTTCCCTGTCGGCTTCCTTACTCTCGGCGGACCCAGCCCGCGCGCCGGAGGTTGCATCAGCCGGGCCGAGGCTCTACGCGTGCGCACTTGTTCCCGGTGGTCTCCTAGGAGACCGCCCCGCCTCCGCGTCCCCCGCCCCGCTCTGCCCTGTGGGCGAAAGGGGAAGTTACCAGATAACACGAGAATTCCCGGAAGCCTTTTTAAGGGCCTAATACACACCCAAGTGTATACACTTACCTTTGACTTGCAGATTTCGGGGCTCCTGTATTGTTGAGTGCTAAGTAGATCATCCGCAGGAGATCTTAGTATAATAGGAATTGGCAATACTGTGTAAATACACGTCTGGTGTTAAGACACTAATAATTTGGAGTGAATAATAAGAGGCAAAACCTTACGTGAAAAATGAGTCATTCGTATGCATTCCTGCCCCTTCGGTTTTCGGGTTTCTAAATCACTAGCTTTGCCTAGGACCTAGCTTTCAGTATCTGACCCACATACATCCACGAAAATGTGAACTTCTGTTTCTCAGGTGGTGTCCCTGTTAGACTGTCCCCTTTCAGTGGGGCAAACCGAAGTCGCAGAGGCGGAAAGAAACGTAGCCCTCAGAACTGTTGACGCTCTCCTATGCTTCTGAGCAGGCAACACATTCAAGTCCTATTTGTATCCTGAGGCCCCAGAACGGCAGGATACAACCGACAAAGAGGGACGCACAGACCATTATCCTTTGAAAAAATTTTGTCTGATAATTTTAATTGCTATATTTGATTCTATGTTGTGAGTTGGTCTTAATTCATTTCTTTATTTCTACTAAAAGTTTTTCATTGACACCTCTGAAGTCAAATATCTATTGCAGAGAGAATGTGGCAGTCTTGTGCACTTAGGGACGGCAGATCTTTCTGGAGCCAGGAGGAAGGCAACTGCTCTTCCTGCTTCATTGGGACTGTTCAAAGAACAGCTACTTCCTTCTAGGAATCTGAGATGTCCTCAATCTCTATGGTTTACCCCTTATTATCTTATTCATATCTCTGGAAACATCTCATTTTCAATCCTAAGAACTTCAGAAAAACGTATTAATAGGAGTCAGCTTAATAAAAGAGCTCCAAGCATGCAAATTAAATAATTGAAGCCTCAGTTTCTTGGTTGTCAAGTGAAGCTAATAATTCCTCTTTCGACACGTTGGTGAGAGAACTAATTCTATCTAATACCTAGATATAGTAGGGGCATAAACATCAGCTAATGTCCGTTATTTATCGGCTAACAATTATTTCCTGTTGCCCACACAATAAAGGCTCCGTACAGCCTGTCCACCTACTATACTTTATCAGCCTTCTCTTCCTAACTTCCCTTACTGCGTGTTAATACCGTAGAACGTTGGACATGTTTCCTGCCTTTACTCATGTGGTTTCTCAGCCAAGAAAGCCCTCTTCCTCCCTGTTATGCAAGTACTCATGCTTCAAGGTGCATCTCAACTGTCAACTCCTTCTTGAAGTCTTTGCCCACCTTCCCAGTCAGAATTCTTTTATTATATACTATGTGAGCACTTAACACGCTACACTATGTATACCTGTAAATGTTCTTACCTGCTGGCCTCAGCTCCTTTTTTCTTTCTTTTTTGACAGAGAGAGAGAGACAGCGAGAGAGGGAACACAAGCAGGGGGAGTGGGAGAGGGAGAAGCAGGCTTCCCGCGGAGCAGGGAGCCCGATGCA